TTCACCGTTGGAGAACTGAGAAAAAGAACTTCTTTAAAAATATGCCACAACAGAAACGAGCCAAGCAGTGGTACTGGAAGGTGACCGAATCAGAGGACGACCTGCAAACTGGATAAAGGAGCAACAAGGAAAGAGAAAGCCAATTTCGACTGTAAAAATTTCATTACAGCAAAATTTATAGCAAGCAAATGAACATAAATGATTTCAAAGGAGGGCCTTGCTGGTGTAGCAGATTTATGAAAAGAAAAAAATTTTGTGCATACTAGAACAACAGCCGGGCAAACAATTACCATGGACTCGCAGGATTAAAAAGGCATCTTTTAAAAATTGTGACAGATATTATTGACAAAAAAAAAAAAAAAATTCTTCGGTCACATAATAAATATGGATGAAACGCTGTTAGTTTGACTCTTTGCAAACAGAATGTTGATGAAAACTGGTACAAAACTGTATCTGTGCTTTGAGGGGCATGAAGAACATCCTTACATGTGTTAGTTGTGCCGAAGGGACAAGCTAAAGCTGTGATCATTTTTAAACGAAGATATTCTGAGAGAGATTTCTCTGACGTAGGTATTTGTGCCAAACGAGAATGGCTGGATGTGCCAGACAATCTGCATGAGTGACTACAAACAGTTTGGCAGTGTCGTAAAGGATCTTTTTCCCAATCAAAAGGGTTGATGATAATGGATCCATGCTCATTTACTTGAGTCAGTGAAAACCAGATATCAAAAACTGTCTATGACCGTAGCAATAATTGCTGGTGGTTTTTAAAAAATCTTACAACCAGTAGATTTGTCAGGTAATAAATCCTTCAAAGTTGAAGTCTGAAAGTGGTGGGAGTGTTGGATGAGTGAAGAATTGCATACGTAAACATAGCAAAATGCATAGATCATCTTATGAAGAAGTTGCAAAGTGGGTAGGGAAGTGCGTGGAAATCAGTAAAAAACATCGTCAACAAAGCAGGGTTCAAGAGCTGAAATTATATTCTAGATAAAAAAGACGTAAGCCAAGGGATGAATGCTGACGATCTGGAAGACTTGGACGAGATCAGGATTCCTAATCTTTTTAATTCAGAAAGTGAAGAATCTATTTGATGGCTTAATGATATAGTTTGCTGTTGTAATCCTTTGTAAGTAAAATTAAAATTTCCTTGTATCCAATTACATTTCGTGTGCAACATTTTTTATAATATAGCTATATTACAAATCGGATTCTTTAGTGGGTAATTAGTATATACGTGAACGTAAATATATTTTCAACATTTCTTACCTTTAATTTATTTTTGAGTTATAGTTTCATTTCATGCATTTTTCTTAACTGATATGTCACATATCAGGACTTAGGTTGAGATTTTGCATCTATACGGCCCACGTCGATGTCACACGCAATTTAATCTATTCCGGCATTTATGCTGATGCGGCTTTTCTTCCGGAAATTATGGTAACTGAATTATCAAACTCTCTTATGGAAACATGCAGTTATTGTTGTTTTCCCTAAGCCTCATCAAAGTTCTACTTTTCTTCAAAATTATTGGCCTATCAGTTTATTTAATCAAATTTTAAAATTGCTGAAAAAATTATTCTGTTTTATATTAATCGAATCATGCCTCCTAGCTCTTATACTCCTGATGAACAATTTGTATCAGACACTGCACAGCACCAATTATCTGCTTCTCTGCTTTTCATTACTTACTGTGGATTCCATTACAAATATCCCGCCGCAATTTTCGACATATTTTTCTTTACAATATTTCACTCAAGACTTCTAAAGAATCTCATATTACTATTCCCTCATTTGCCAACGATACCGCATCCTAACTCAAGCTTCAACTATCAATATGTACAAATTTTCTAGAAAAACTATTTGGAGCTTCTTGAAAATGGATGACATGGGGGAATTGCTGTCAACCAAAGCCATTATTTCCGAAAAGAACAAACAAACTTCCTTCCACTAATCCATCTTCTGACGACGATATTCAGTGGACAGATCTTGAGGTCTAGGAGCACACTTGACCAAAAACTCCTTTTTGGCACCTTAACGAAACTGCGGAATTCAATATTCAATAGCTACTATGGTCCTTCCTCAACAGCCATAGAATCTGACTACAATTATCAAAATAAACTTGGTACACAAGTCCCCCTTAGACTTTCCTTTACGCCAGCCGGTATGGGTCACGCCGCAAAAACCACATAAAAAAGATACCGTTATTCAAAATAGAACATGAAATTATATGACCCTGTTTCATCCCAAAATTCATATTTCCAGAGATCTTCAAAATGATTACTAGACCAAAATTACATAAAAAAACTTGCCATTTTTTTTCCCTTTTGATTACATCCAAACCGCTGTATCTTTTTTGGATGCTCACTTTCCTAGAGGAAACACAAATATCCTTCGGATATTCTACTAACATTTTTAATTATGAAGTACTTACTACCTTACTGATCCAACTTTTTTACATCGCTTGTTATTTCATTCATTACATCTTCTCACGATTGCAATATCCCATCTACCATCTTTTCTTATCAATTGTCATGTTCCAGACATTCTATTGATGCAGAGTAAAAGCGCGCGCTGTCACTCTCTTTCCATTCGACAAGAAACAAGCAAGGAGGATAGAGGTCCTAAGTCTCTGCGACACATTATCCTAGGCATTCACAGTTGTTGTTCCATATTATTTTGTGGTCCGAATCTGTGCCTAACATGCTCAATGGTGAAAGTCTGGTGAACGGCTGGCCAAGAAAAGAGTGAACCGTTAAGAGATATGAACGTGTATGTGGCCTGGCTATCTCGTTGGAAAATGGCTCAGGGGATGACGTGCAATGAATGGAATGCAACCGACCCAGCATGGCCGTCAACATAGTTGATCGTAAGATTACGGAGGATGACTAAAGATGATTGCTATCATAAGAAATAGCGCCCCACACCTCACATCAAGGGTATGGGTATGCCTTGTTAAACAAAGGCTGATTGGGGACCACTAGCCCCTCTCCAGACAAGAACATGGTGGCCATCTTCAAGAGTGAAGGGGATTCATCACTGAAACACTATACGATGTCACTTGATGGGAGGCTGATAATCATGCGACACCACTCCAGAAACTCGCAATGTTGTGGGTCGAAGGCAACCTTAAAGTTCTGTGAGTGAACCCCGCCTCAGACAAGCGCCGTGAAAGGGTGGATGGTATCACGGGAGGTACAGACGTGGCTGTAGTGTGTTGAATAGTCGACAATGATACCATTGGGACAGTTCAGGCCTGGAGAACAATAATCTTACCTTGCCTTGCATTTGTGCTCCTTGACCTTGCAGAGCTTTCAGTTTGTCGGCAATTTCCTTGTAGCAACCATTGCTGCCAACCTCTTTGCACAGCAGTATCTGCATGCTGCAGGTGGCGCCTATTGCTCAGTATGACGACCCAGCTTCACGCAACCCTACATTGTGACCACATTGAAGTCGTTGTATGTAGGTTCGATCTGCGTAATGGCTCTTTAGTGCTTCTTACGGAGTACACGCAGCAACAAAAGAAGATAATTTTCCACATCTGTATGGTTTTATACTTGTGAAAATTGCGCACTAGAAATGCATGCTATGATAAAAATTCTGTTATTTACTTGAAACTTTGATCATTTGCATGTTCGATCAAGATGTGTTTGAATACCAAATTTCATCACAATCGCAAAAGTCCTTCTTGGTGCTTAATTTTTTTTTTTTTTTCAAAAAAGTGTATTATTGAGGCAAAATTTAATATTGTTTCCTTTAAAGTATAAAATAAAAAAAAAAAAAAAAAAAAATTTAAAAACTGGTTGAAAGAAATTTTAGTTAAAAAAATAATGTACTTATTTAATTCACTGATTTTTAACTTATAATTAATTTGTACTGAAATGCATAAAAAGAGTTTCAGTATATAAGATCACACATTACTCATATTTTTAAGTGCATACATAAAAATGGTACCTTCTGATTATCTGTAACCCTACAAAAAGTTCTTATGGTGACTTTGTGACAAGGTGGAAACTGTATGTTTGGCTATCTTTACAGCTAGGTACAGTTCTCTTCATAAATAAATTTATGAACAGAACTGTTAAATAAATAAATAAATAAATAATAATAATAATAAAAAGCAAAAATCTATATGGCTATGTTTACATTTTAACAGCTGTTTAGCAAAATGATGATTGTGTGTAATAATGACTGTAAATGCACAGTGTGTAATCCACGTGTACTCAATCCTATATATGGTATGGACATGCATAAGCTGCAGGTGTGGGGTTGAAATTGGGTATTGAGAGACTGAGATCATATGAAAGCTGTATCACAATACCATCCATTTGGAGAATTTTAACTATTTTGAAAGTATCTGCTTTATGCAATTTATTTATTTATTTGTAGCCGATTCTAAACAGAAGGAATTTAAAAGTATTAGGTGTTAGAATGGAGAAAGGGTGCTAACTAAGAAATATGCTATTTATTAAATAATATTAAGCTCAGGTAAAACTTTACTTTTGCATTATAGTACATTATAAGTCTAAGGTATAATTTGAATATAAAATAGCTTTTTCTGCTCCTGAAAAATGCGTTGGAATTATTATAAGCCTTCAAGTCAATCTGTCTGCAACCATATTTAAAAATAATTAATGAATATTTTATTTAGAAGCAATGTGATTTTGATGCATAAATAATATAATTAACAGATTATAGAGGAAAACAGTGATACCAAGTGCTTTAAGAAAACCTCAATAATGTACAATATAAATTACACTTTTTCTCTGTCTCTTTATTTAGGCTTTTTTTAAGTATTTCACATGCATACTTATCATATAACATGTACAATTTAACAAATTATTAAAGACTGAATTAAGATATAAACAATGTAAGTATATTGCAAGGAGAAAGTTAAGTGCATTTTTTTATTTTTTATTTATGAAATGTTTTACAAGAACTTCTTATAAAAAAAAGACAAAATTCAAAAGCAATGATTAAATAATATGTTATTTTCTTACTTGTTCTCCTATTGGCATTGCTCCATATAAAGGAACAACAAACATTTTCTTAACATCACTTTTGTTCTTAAGGTCCCGAGCATAATCTCTAGAATATATTTTTTGAAAGGAATAGAATGTTAGTGAAACTGTATAACACATCTCATTTTCATAAGTAACACATCTCATTTTATATGAACAAAGTAAAATGCTTTTTAAAAAAAAGAATAAAACACTTACATAAGCATTGCTGTGGCTTGCTCTACTTCATCTTGTCCAGTTAAAAAGATTAAAATATCGCCAGGTTGTTCATTGATGTGTATTTTAATAGCTGTTTCAACAGATGCTTTAATATAATTAGGAAATGGTTCTATTGTATAATGAATATCTACAGGATAATTGCGTCCTTCAACACTTATAATCACGGCAGTGTCTTTGGACCTAAAATAAAAGCAAAAAAAGTAGTAATATTTGATTTAGTTTTTATTTGTCCAGTTCGATATATTGTCAGATTGCCCTTGAAACTGATAAGAGCTTTATTCAAAATCTATGCCTATGTCTAATTTTAAATAAGGTATTAGTTTATATCAAATTCAACAATGGACAAATCAGCGTGCCTTTACAAGTTCGGGTCTAAAACATGCACTATGACAGTGTTATAATTTGACAATAAATAGATAGCACAACTTAACATTCTAAGTGGCATAGCTTTTTGAATCTGCTTATGAAGAACTGTATTTAAACTGCATCTGTTAGCTGAACTTATATAATTAGTTAGTCTCTGTTTTCATGAACTTGCATTTTAAGATAATATTCAGATCATTAAAGAGAATTTTAAAAAAAATATTTTAAATTATTAGGTAATACACACCGAATAACAAAAATATTTCATGATTGAATAAAAGTGGTCATACAGACACGGAGTTGAGCGGTAGCAACAATGTGAGAAAGAGAATATGAGTGTTTAGTGGTGATGTGTTTCAATCTCACAGCATATGAGTGGACACCTATATGTAAACAATATGTTGAATTAGTAAATTTAAATTAAAAAAAATAACAGAGCATGTCAATATGAAAAGTCAAGCTAGATATCACACCTAACAATTGTAAGAAATTCAAATATAAATGATTACACTTATCAACATTATACATGTGATAAAAAGATATATTTTTTACTAATAAAACACAATTCTTGTGGGCCCTTCTCCATATTTTAAAATTTCCATTCAAACCGGCCAGCCATTCTCATGCATTTTAATTTCAACTTTATTTTTTTTGGTCTTCACTCTGATATAAACTTAAAATAATATTTATGATGAATAAAGTTAAGAACATTATTAGATTTTTCAGCTGGTATTTAATTACTTTATTCAACTTATCAAGTTTTTTACGATTCTAATGAATAAAATTTTTACTCAATAAGCAGCAATTAAAATAATTTTTTAAATTACTGCTTTGTATTAAAAAAAAAGAAAATGTTTATATACAAGATGGATCATTACTTTATTTTGTTGACACTCCTTAGAGTAAATTTTCCTCATAATTAAATCATACATAACAGTGAGGAATTTTATAGAATTTCTACAATTTTTTAAGTCTTAATATTCTATATAGTTCTTTTTCTCTTTAGTAATTTAACAGAAATGGGAAAATAAAAAGTTTTTTTAAGCATGATGAGGAAGTTTTACTTCATGAAAATTTTGAATAAAACAATGCTCTTTGCCCATAATTCTAGAAAGTATGTTCTAACTGAAATATGCATTCATTGCAATATAACTTCTTTAATCACGTAATCCTTACATCTTAGAGTGATTGAGTGGCCATACATGAAATGTTATCTAGTGACAGAATTAATTACATTGTACTAAAAGAGTTTATCATTTATTCTAATAAAATGAAAAATAATTTTTAAACTATTAAAGAAAATATAAAAATATATATGAAACAATATTACGAAATTCAGACAGTTCATGCAATTGTACATTAGTGGTCATGCCATTAAAAGGGCCAAATAATAAAAACATTTGAATACATAAATTAGCATTAACTTATACCACACATATACATTACTTTATACTTTAAAACCATCAAATGTGTGGGGTAGAAACCACGATCGGCAATTTTGTTTTATTGACAGATGTGAGAAATTTTTTATCACTCTCCAGTATTCATAAAACAATTTAAAAAAAGGTTTGATGTATATTTCTAGTATGTAAATTTATTCAGATTTAAGTTTAGAGATAAGGAAAATGCCGAGTACTGGAATTACTGGAATAATAAAAAGTAAAGAATTTAAATATACACACAAAATTATATACATTCACTTCCAAAAATTAAGCACGAAGATGTAAAATGCAAAAAATTCAACAAATACACAAAATTGACACAAAATTCGGCAAGAAAGTAGCATATATATTTATGCATAAAACAAAATCAATAATTATATACAGAAATGAAAATAATATTAAATTTTATAAGTTATCAGATAATGAAATGGAGAGAATTATGTATAAAAAAATAAATAGCATAAAATGAAAACTTAATAGGGTATGTGATCCCCCTCTTCTGTATAAAAGTTTTAACCTTGTGACCATGCTTTTAATTAGGTGGTCAACCACTGCAGAATTAAGCAATCGCCATTTTTCTTGAAGGGCAGTTTCCATCGCAATAAGAGTGGCTGGAAGTGGGAAACGTGAAGATACAGCACGGCTGAGAGCATCCCAAAGATTTTCAATTGGATTATGGTCGGAATAATATGCTGTGCACGCCATGCGCACAATCCCTTCACTCTCCAGGTATTCATCCACAATGTCAGCTCTATGGGGACGTTCGTTATCGTCCATTAAAACAAAAGCAGGGCCAACTGCTACAGCGTACAATCTCACAATGGGTTCTAGGACTTCATCTTGATACCGAAAAGCCATCAATAAACCCGTTTAAAGATGTGCAGGTCGGTGCAGTATCCTAATGAAACCCCTGCCCACACCATAATACTTCTGCCTCAGAATGTGTGATGTTCGATGATGTTTTAGGACTGATGTGCGTCGTGTTCATGCATATCCTATACGATTGTATTGGCTCCAGATCAAATTGCCTCATCAGTAAATTGACATTGCCCCAGTCAGACACTTTCCAATTGACATGTTTCCGCACCACGTAAGTGTCCCTCTAGATGGATGTATAGAGGACACAAACTCGAGGTACCGGGCGTAAGTCCACTCTAGTATCTTCGGAGACAGTAGCTGCAGATATCACCTTACAATGGATGCTGTAATCTAGATGTCACACATGTGGAGATCGCTCTGCGATTCCGCTTGGCTACAATAGCAATTATCGATCTTCCGCTGGGGTTGTACCCTTGTGTGACCGGCTAGGGTCTTCGGACAATGCGTGGTGGTTTGGAATTGTTTCCTAGACATGAAATTACAGAATGTGAACACCGAAAAAAGAGCAACTTCTGTGATCGACGTCCTGCTTCAATGCACCCACAGACGTCAGCGCTCAGAATTTCCATTCGTATCTGGAAGAATAGAAACACGTATGCTCTAAAACAAATTGTATGAAAGTTTAAAAACACCTTCTATCAGCACTTGCAATCAACTCGTAACCCTTCATAAAGGGCTTCTTATAAGACTGCCTTTTCTGCATATTTCTTGAAAAGCGCGACTGGCGTTACCTAACATATTGCACATTCCCAATCTCGCAGCGAATTGCATCCCTTTCAATTCTGATTGGCTTCTGGAAATTAGCATTTTCCTCTCCGTGCTTAACTTTTGGAAGTGAGTGTATATAAAGAAATCAATTATACCTAAACTAAAACATATGTTACAAAATACAGAAACTCACTTGTCATCACTTTCATTTTTATTAAAAAATCTGTAAACTGTTTCAGCTTCAAATGTGGCTGATGATATGACTAATTTTAAATCTGGCCTTTTCTTTATAATTTTTTTCAATAACCCTAGTATGATATCACTATTCAGAGATCTTTCATGGATTTCATCTAGAATTAGCACAGAATAGCACTTTAACAACGGGTCTGACATCATTTCATTGATTAGCATACCTTCTGTCATATACTGTAAAAATAAAATAAAAGAAACAAAAATAAAAATAATAAACAATATAATAAAAATTATTGTACCAGCAATTAATTCTTATTTTCTGTTTAATAAAAAAGCAGCAATTTTCCCCCCTAGAAGTGCCATGATATTCTAAAAGTAAAATTCTAATAAATTTCCTACATAAATAAATTAAAGATAAATATGTGAATGTTAAATCTTTCTACATACTTTCTTGTTATTATGATCTCTGTCATATAAACAAAGCCAACTGCTTGTTAATAAACTGTATTAAAGCAATCCTTGCCAAGCAGTGAGGAGTCTTACTATGGTCCTAACCATAGTCACTTTAAAATTCACTTGTCACAAAGAGTTCTGAGTATGATTGCCATTTTGGTACAGTCCATTACCAAAACGGCTTTAGGAAAAATTTTAAAAACAGGGGCCATAATAATAAGAAAGAACCTCTTCCTATACCAGATATTAAATAAATTATGTAATAATTACATTTCAGAATATTAAAACAGCAGTACATAAAAACTGTTAAGAAAAAAGCAATGAATCATTTTACACACTTTCATTCATAATGTACATTTTAATGCAGCAAGATTATAATTATATTGAATAAAGCACAAAACTCATTGAAATATTAATGAAATAAAAGCTTAATTTTTTATATAACAAAACAATTCAGAATTTATTATACTTCATCTTCAGAGTTTAATACACTCAAAGTGTTAATCCGACTAGTCGGGGACTTCGGCGATTTGGATTACGATTTTTCGGTTATAGACATCAGTGTAAATGGAAGATGGCATGCAGAAAATATAAAATTAAAATTTGAAACCGTAATTAGAAATAAAGAACAATTATGATCTAAAGTGTATCAAAATTTACAAAAAACAACTTAATATTATTTGTTAATTATTAACATTCTTTAAGGTAGTTGTTTAAGTTGCTTATTTTTTATGTGTAATAAATTTCTTTAATTTATAAACGACTAATTTCTTGTTCAGTTACAAAGTCCGGTTCAATTACTATAATGCTGGGTGTCGAGTACGGCCAAGTGTCAATCCGAAAATTTTTCGTTTTCATACTCTGTCACTTTCTTCATATCGGAAGCGAATTATAATGACGAGGCATTGAGTTAAATATAGCAAAGACGAGAAATAGAGATGAATATACATTGTAAGCAATTATAAGCCAAGAAAATAAAAAACTCTGCCTGAGATAGGATAGAGGGAAGCTCAACTGCAAATTATTGCGCGCTGCGGCGTTTAAAGATAAACACGTTTAGAAAAACAACTTAAGAATTAGATAAAACAGGATAGCCTTTATCCCTTTTTTGAAGCCACTCCATTTGTTTAATGGACTGAACATACTTTCTCATGTGTAGATACTTACGTATTAGTAAATATATATCGGAAATTCTATTTGACATAAGCGAAGTTAAAGCGTACTTTTATAAAATTGCGGAACAGTCTGCAAAAAATATAGCGGATCCAATCGAAGATTAAGGAACAACGCAATCTCAAATTAATGAAATAGAAAGTAGATAATTTGCTAGCTTATACCGTCCAGTATACATTAAACGCATTCGTAAACGTAGTTTGCGCAGGCCACGCAAATCGCACCGTAAGGTCTTAATGCATGCGTCAAGTGTGCAGCGCAGAAAGTTGTTGTGTTTGAGGCTGGATTATAGATCATTCCGGATATGGGTTTCGAATACGACTTTGACTGTAATATGTGTAGAAGTTTGTATTACGTTTTGCAGAATATTGTTTTACTGGCAATTAGCTATCACTAAATGATATCTATAATATAATATAATATAAAAGAGAGGCAAATATCCTAATTCAAAAAATATGCAAAACATTTGCTTTTATTTTTAATTGAATTTGAATAAATAAGAGGGAAGGAGGTTTAGAAAACCCTTTCAGTGAAAACTTAGATTATTTTCAAAATACTAACTTCAGGAAAATAAAATTAGGAATCATAAGGCTCAATTATGAGTTTGAAAAAAAAAAATGTTTCTAAAAAGCCCATATTGAAATCATGTGCAATGTCTATTGTGTCATTCAACATCAGCCATTTGTTAGCAAAAAAATGTAAACCATTTTCTGATGGAGAATTTATTAAAGAAACTTTCTTGTAAATGTTATATAACCGTTTTAATGTACTTAAGAAAAAGACTGAAATTATTACTGCAATTAAAGAAGATTTACAATTCTCTTGAAATACTGTAATGCAGCGGATTAAAAACTAAAATGTAACATTAATAATGAGTTCATTGGAACTTGTTCTGGAATACAGCTGTCTTGCTATGGAAACTGCTTCCAGAATAGTGGTAGAGCTACCCATTGTTTGATGGATCTTGATACTTGTTAGAAAGTTAGCTAACTTCTTGCTTCAGTCCAAAGTAGGCTTTGCTGTTGTAATCACATCTTAATTTTAGCATACTAGCAAGCCGTTGTTATTCTCAGTTGATGACAAGCTGAACAGTTTAGTTCGATTCTACTTTTAGCTGTATTACTGATAATCATGTTTAATAAACATTTATGCTGCATTTTTTACTTATTTTGTGTATTACTAGTAACAAGTAGCAATAAGCAATAACTCACTAATCTCTGGACATAATTTCAATGAATAACTGTTAGGTATACAAACAGTCAGATTTAAATTTCATCGTAAAAGTAATACATTCTCATGGCAGCCACTTTGAAAGTGATCAACACTTCTGAGAACATAAATAAACTTCCATACTGAGAACGTCTTTGATA